GACATGTTCGTACGAACCCTTTGTACGAACAAAAGTAAGAGAAATTTAGGATAAGAATACGAACATGTTCTTGCATGAGGCCCATTGAGATCATTTTTTCTAATATCACGAGAAGACGTTCATTCTTTTCTCGCGATAACGAGATGATTATCTTTTCTGGAATGCTCACGATCAGTTTCTCAGTGCTCTTAAAACCTTGCCAAGAACGAACTCAAGCTGAAAATGTCAGATCGTGGAGAACCTGGCATTGATCAACGCATCAGACTTTACTTCTGTCGAGGTCTAACACAGACTGAAATTATAACTTGTTTGTCTTTCATATCAGCCCTTGTCATTTAAGGAGACAGCTGAACCGACTGCAGCTCAACATGAGTTTACATTTAAGTGATCCTGTTGATACAATAAACTTTATCGATGAACAGCTGAGAGGACCAGGCCTATTAATGATACATGAGAGGAAACCATGACTCATTATCTCGAGATAACGGTCATAGCTAGTTCGTTAAAACAACGTAAATTTATTGTTATGACATAAAGAAAATTTAATTAAACCAGACTAAAAATGACATTTACTTGAAGCAGAAATGATATAATATAACAAATATGAATATAACGACAATTCATTATCTCGAGAAAACTGTGGGGAATAATAATATGTGGAAAATGTCTTCTCTCTGCTTCCGTATATCTGGGTGAATCCAGGTTTTGTTTTAAAAAAGTTATTGAATTTGTGTGTTGGATGATCATTCCCCCCTGGAGAAATATGGTTCAAATAAACGATTGAAAGCTCTAAATCAGGGGTCTCCAACCAGTAGCTCATGAGATCATTTAAAGTAGCTCTTCAGTGCTTATGAAAAATCAGGAGTAGCAAAATTTAATTTGTCACTGGCCAAATCAACTTTTATTTACATCCAATCAATCCATAGATGTCCCTCCCCCTTGGTTGTCAATCAAACAATCTAGGGCTCAGTATGGTCGAGCGGCAGCCGACCGTACGATGCACGATCATGTGGTTGTTTGGCGTTTATTTTTTTTTGCACACTTTTCATAGCTCCATGAGACACACCGTGCAGAACTCCTGGGAAACCCCTCCGGCTGCAGCATACATGGGGTTTCTTCCCACTGGAGTCTACAATGCAGAAAAAAATCAGTTATTTGTGCCAAAAGTAGCTCTTGGACAATTTCATTTAGTGAAAGTAGCTCTTAAGAAGAAACAGGTTGGAGACCCCTGCTCTGAATGAATATGACACTCATGCCCACGGTAAGTGGAAGTACAGTAAATGTCTGACTGCAACTGTAGGAGCCTTTCACAGAGGTTTAACAAACCAATAAACAAGGAATCTGAAAAATAATCTAGGGCTGCAGCGATTAATCGATTAATCGACAGCTAATCGATTATTAAAATAATTGATGACTAATTTAATAATCGATTAATCGTTTTCTCTTTTTTTGTTCGTTTTTCTCTCCAAACTGCTTTGACACCTTCCACTGCCACGTCTGCTTTTCTGTGCTTGACACACATGCACAGTAGTGGTAACTGGGGTAGGCCGTGGACGTCACAAGACATTATACAGACAGGCTCTGGTATCATGGCTGTCCGGCAACGGAGCTCAAA